AGACTCGCCTGGGCAACTTGGCGAGACCTCATCTCTACAATAAATCAAAAAATTAGCCGGGCATGGTAGCCTGCGCCTGTAGCTCTAGCTACTTGGAAGGCTGAGGCAGGAGGATCGCCAGAGCCCCAGCAAGTCAAGGCTGCGGTGACCGGGAGTGTGCCACTGCACTCCAGTCTGGGTGACAGAGTGCTCCAACTCAAAAAAAAAAAAGAGAAAGAGTATTCTGTGTGGAGGGATAGTCCACCTCAAGGCCTGGAGGCAAAAGCGTGAGCATGTAGTTTTTGAGCTACAAGGAGTTCAGTGCCGCTGCAGTAATCAGGGTGAGAGGCAGAGAGAGGGAGATGGAGAAGGGAATTGGTTCTGAGGGCAATGGGGAGCCACGAAGGGTGTGTGAGCAGGAGGGGAGACATCTGCCGAGGTCAAATCTACCTGGCTTGTTCCCTTGCTTTCCTGCTTTCCTCCCTTTCTTTCAAACTCCTGGGGAGCATCCTTCGATAAATCACAATTGCATCTGCAGTTCAGGCTTTGTTTCCAGAGAGTCCACATGTGTCAGTGTCCCTTTATCCTCCTCTCCCACCAACCTGCAGCCTCTGCTTTTGTTCCCTGACTGGCTTCCATCTGTTTTCTTCTACTTCCTTTTCAGCCCCTTCTGGATGTCTCCCTTGATCTTTCCCAGCTGGCTCCAGCCTGGGCACAGATGTGGGGTGTCCCCCTCTGAACTCCAGCCCAGGGCTACCTCCAGGGTGGGGAATGGGCTGCCGGGGGCAACGAACCTGGCCTAGGGTGGCGAAGCTAGGACGGGAGAGGTATGTCTACACCTCTCAGCTTGCCTGCTGCCATGCTGGGGAGGCGCCTAGCTGTGTAGGAGGCTGTGCTGGGGTTGGGGTACAAGGCAGAAAGTAGGGGAGGCGAGATTAGTTGTAAATTGGGGGTGAGCAGTAAGTTGGGTAGGTGTCGAGGGAAAAGACAAGGAGAGAGAGATGGGAAGTTGGAGATGAAAGGGATAGAGTTAGAGAGAGCTAGGTACGCACGTGCAAATACGCAGGCAGTGAGAGAGATGGGAGAGGGAGAGAAAGACACAGAAAGGAATGTATGAACGGGGAGTAAGAGAAATATGTACATACACATATATCTTTATCCTATCTACCTCTATTTATCCATCCATCCATCCGTCCATCCATCCGTCCATCCATCCGTCCATCCATCCGTCCATCCATCCATCTATCCAGCTATCTATCTATCTATCTATCTATCTATCTATCTATCTATTATCTATGTATCCATCTTTCTGTATATCTCTCATCTATTTATCTGTCTATTTTCCATCTATCGGTCCTTTCTAACCATCTATCCAATGTATTTATCCATCCATTCATCACCTACATATCTGTCTAGAAAAAGACACTGACAGAGAAAGAGTGAGGAGACAGTGAGACTAATATAGACACAGACACAGGAAGAGACAGAGGCCAACAGAGAGAAACTGACTCAGTGAGAAGTGTAGGCCAATAATCCAGGCAGAAGGACTCAGAAGGGTGGTAGTACGTTGTGAGCAGGGTGGTGCAGTGGGCAGTGGTAGCATCTGAGACCCCTGCCAGGCCTGTGGTCTGCCTTTCCTGTCCCCAGGTGCCGAGCAACGAGGAGGGCATGCAACTGGTGGAAGATCTGGGCTACCACTTTCGAGATGTCCACACCTGGTGGATTGGGCCTGTCTGCCCCGTCCTGCGACTCGTCCACCCTAAGTTTGTGGCCCCCCTGCTGCAGGCCCCAGGTGTCTTTCCCAGGAGCCTATGCCCCCAGCCTCTTACTTGCCTCTGATCCCAGCTCTTCCCAATCCTGAACAGGCCAGGCTGGAGCAGGGAAATGGGCATGCCCAACAGAGAGCACAGCTCTACCTCTCAATCACCTTCAAAGCACTCTCCCTTTGACACAATATACCTATCTAGATGCTCAAAACAGTTTTTGAATTCATCAATTTTGATGCCTTTTAGTTCTACTGCCATTTTTTGCTTCACCTCTTACACATCAGCAAAATGTTTCCCTTTGAGCATTTTTTCATCCAGGGAAACACAAAAGAGTCACTCGGGGTGAGATCAGGTGAATGCGGGAGGGTGGGGCCTGGGGGTCATACCAGTTTTGGTCAAAAACTGCTGAAAACTCAGTGTGAAGTGGGCAGGTGCATTGTCACGGTGGAAGCACCAGTCACCTGTTTGCCACAACTTGGGACGTTTCTTCTGCAAATCATGACACAGCCTTCTCAAAAGTGGTACATGGATGCTGATGGGTTCCTAGACTATTCACCTAGTGGGGGAAGCCTGTACTCCAAGGGGCCTGCCCTGCAAAAGATAACTCCGGTTTTTTTGGGGGTCCCCCCTTGTTTGGAGCCTCCTCCTCATCTCTGTGCACTCCATTGCCTCAACTGCTTCTGATGGAAGGGGCTTAAGCTAGGTGATTTGGGGCAAAGCAAATATCAATAGAGTATTTTGGGGAAGGTCCACCAGGCCCCAGGTTGGTCAGCTCTCTCTGGTTGGTTCTGGGAGGTTCTCTAGCAGCTCATCATGGTAAACGATCCTCAGCATCTGAGGGGGTAGCGTCCTCTGGTCTCTTGGAGGATAGATGAGCCCTTGGCATAAACACTTAACACTTAGTGCTAATCACCCATTGAATCTAGCTTAGTGTGTCAAGGAGGATATTGAGGAAGTATGGGTCTTACCTGGACCACATCTGGGACCCTAATAGGACCATTTTCCATTTTAATTCAAATTTTTTTTGTGTGTGAGTTGGAGTCTCATCTGTCAGCCAGACTGGAGTGCAGTGGCACGCTCCTGGCCACCACAGCCTCAACCTGCTGGGCTCAGG